GCTGTTTCTTTTTCTTTCGCATTGGCACCATGTGTCAGCCGTAAAGTTTTGTTTCATTGGAGTGGCGCAATATGTTGCATGAAAGGTTGAGGGAAACACGCTAAGAAAAATCCCTTCAGGCCTAGCACTCGTTTACTGCAAACACCCATTCCGGAATCGCAGAAAATGGAAGTTGACGGAGCGGACGACGATGGAGGCGGTTGCTATGATGACTTCGATACGGCAGCGAGCATGCATCTACCAGTCCCTGAGCAAGAAGTCCAACGTCCTTCGCGAGCAGAGCAACGACGAGTTGAAAAGAAGCCCGTGAGTTCAACAGCTTATATTCGTCATCATTTCCTTATATTCAGTGGGAAGAGGCTGACGACGATGAAGATGACCCCACGGAGAAGTTTGTGATGGATCCTTTTGTGAATTCTAAGTGGAAGACAAAACCTGTAGATAAAATCAAACGTTTTGTCAAAGGAACTACGATTGCTGCAAGACTGGAAAAGGCAAGCCGGCTCTGGAGTAACTTTTGTTCTCTGAACATCATGTTTAGGTGGAGAAGGCGACAATGACGTTACAGAAGCAAACCATGCAGACTAACGATTACGTCAGAGAACATTTCTATATGCGCAAAAAACACAAAGCCACCGATAAGGCCGATGATTGGGTATATCTGTTACCTACTTAAGGTGTCGAGTGTACAGTTATTCATTTAGCAATCAGATGCTCTATATCGGTTTATCATTGCTGTTATGAAGAGAAGGGCAGAGGCAAAGCGGGAACGGAAAGCGAGGGCGAAGCGCTTACCGGAAGGTGATCTAACTTGTCAAATAGAGTCTATCTTAGAAGTTATATGTCACCATCATTCGAACTCTGGGTGCACACCTGTTGACCGTAGTAGTCTGTAGTAGACTCCTTTTTCTGTTATGTTTGCATGGCTTTCAACATGACAAGCATTTGATATGTCTCTAATCAGATTTGCAGCTGTCTATGATGAAGAAGATGACGCTGCCGATGCGTGTGATGACGATGACATTGAACAAGAGATTGAACAGGAAAACAAAGAGAATATCCCGCCGAAAGATGTTGCAGGAGAGGCATGTCCCTCACAAACAGCGGAAA